GATCCATCTGTGTGTGTGAGTCGTTTTGAGTTGAGTTTAGCAGCAGTAGCGGCAAGCGCGAGCGCCAGCCGTTATTTTATTTTTTAAAATATTTAAACGTTTACGCCTTAAAAGCGTCAACGGTTGTAACGGCCGCCGGTATCTTAACCGTCGACTCGGGGTCGTTTTTTCGACCGTGTTCCGGCATTTTCCTCAAATTTCGACAAATATTCTCAAACAGAGACCCGGAGAGAGCGGTGTGAGCGTGTGTGAGAGCTGTGACAGACCAGGGACGGTCGGACGGTCGGACGGACAGACGGAAGGACGGATGGGATTCCCGGTTTGCTAGCGTTAGCTTCAGCTTGATGGAGGAGGAACCGAGCCGAGCGGTGCTGTGAATTATTAACAATCTCTCCGTCGCGGCGCTTCAGAGAGAAAAAACAGCCCCGACAGAGAAAAAGATGCATCTCCACCAGGTGCTGACCGGAGCCGTGAACCCGGGGGACTGCTGCTACTCGGTGGGGAGTGTCAACGACGTCCCCTTCACGGTAGGACAACCTTTCTAATGTCAGAGCCGCCGGCTAACGTTAATGCTCCTCTCAGGCTAGCAGGTTAGCTAACCGCAGCTCATCATTATTACAGCTATAGCTTAGCTGTAGCTGTGGCTGTGATCCTGTTCGCCTTCTTATTCGAATTTTCCCGTTCCACCTTAAATGGTGCAGCAGTTACATTCTGGCGCCAGAGGCGGACAGATCTGCTGCACCATTTAAGGTGGAACGGTGAAATTCGAACAACGCTGCTCGCATTTGCTGTTGATTTTGCGCTGATGTGATCCAGTCAAGGTTATAGGCTGTTACTGCCTCCCACAGCAGGGAAATTCAGCGTGCAGTCCGGTCTAGTGTAGTGTTATGGGCTGTCAAAGGCAGATAATCCTGCTGGGGCAGCGTTATTTGCATTGGCACGTTGTAACTGTCTTAATTCAGCCCTTGACAGCTTGCTGTGTTGATGTTGGTCGGCCTGCAGAGTGAAAAACACAAATGAAATGCAATGCTGCAAGCTTTTCATTCCGGTTAGTGGGAAAATACACCATGATCTTGGTTAGGTCACTCAGTGTTAGGCCTATATGCATACACACTTGAAAAGGATGGCTGTTTAGTAAAGGGAATGGTTCTATTTAGAACCCTAAATCTTACATAGAACCATTTGCATGCTTAAGTTGTTCTTTGTGTGTTAAAATGGTTCATTGGATGATGGAGAATGTGTCTGGTTCTATACAGCACCAAAAAGGGTTCTGCTGTTGATACAAGCTTGACAGCTTGGCACCTTTTAGAACCATACACACTTACTTAGGGCAGTTAGGTCAATATGCATACACCCTTTAAACAGATGGTTCTTCAAGGCATCTTTACTAAAGGGAATTGTTCTGTTTAGAGCCATTAGTCTAATATAGAACCATTTGCATGGTCAAATTAATCTTCGTGTGGTGAAATGGTTCTTCAGATTGATGGAGAGTGTATATAGCACCAAAAAGGGATCTGATATTGACACAAACTTGACAGTTTGACATCTTTTAGAACCATACATAACACATTCTCCATCAAACTGAAGAACCATTTCACCATGCAAAGAACTATTTAAGGGGGCAAATGGTTCTATATAGAACGCATGGTAGTGGGAAAATACACCGTGATCTTGGTTAGGTCACTTATTGTTAGGCCTAAGTGTATAGGCTTTGACTGGGGTGGCTGGCCGGGGTGGTGGGTGGTGGTGGTGTTGGGGGTGGTGGGTGGTGTGAAAACGCACCATGCAGTGTTATGAGGCAAATTATCAGAATCAAAAGTGTGTTATACATACAAGAAATGAGTGAGTCACACATATATGACATGTAACACAATGAACAGACCAGACAAGCACACAGACTGTTGACATGTACTAAATAAATACATGTACATAAATAAAAAAAGAGTAAATAGAATAAAGAATAAGAAATAATTATTAAGAATTAAGAGTCAGTGTGAAAGGAGCTGAAGAGATGTGTGAATTGTACATGTGCAGATCTGAGTAGACATGTAATATAACTCTTACTTACAGAATATTACAGAACATGTGTACTGTTGTGCAAATAAGCGTTATGTTACAGAGGAGTGACTGTAAAACAGCGACAAAGGTTTGTTGGTTTCAGTTTAAAATCCCATCCTGGTGATGTTGTATATTCACGATGTATTCAGTCTTTGACAGTCTTGACGGTGTTGCTGTGGCTCACCTTACGGAGTGAAAGCAGGTACACGTACATGAAAGATCCCAAAAACAAATGATCTTGGTGGTGTTGTGCGCAGTGGTTGTTTCAGTTCAGCCCTTCACAGTGATGGATGTGGGTTATGCTGCTGTAGGCGAGTTGAAAACAGCACACACAGGAATAAAACACAGTGACATGAGCTACTAAAGATGAACAGTCATAATTAGGTGGTATTAAGTCAATGATCTTGGTTAGATCCTGGTATGTGTGTTGATGTTGGTCACCTTACAGACTGGAAAACGCACCATACACGTCATGTTAATGTTTAGGAGCTACTGAAGGCCAGTAAGTATGGTGAGGCAGCGTTGGATGAAGTGATATGGTTTAAATTCAGTGTCTGATGGTGCTGAATGATGGTTATGTTGCTGTGGATGGTTTCCAAAGGCGAATGGGCTCATCTGGCTAGCGTTGTGTGTGTTGGGGTGTTCTTATTTTCGCTGCCAGTCAGCCTTTGGTCCCTGGATGTGGGAAGGTGGTGTGCAGTGCGCCCAGTGAAGGTTGGCAGATCCTGTATCCATGGGCCTTTGTGTAGAAATGTGGTTCCTGACTGTGTAATGTAGGGCTGCACAATATGGACAAAATTCTAGGTCGTAACTACATTGTAGGGGTGGGAGGTAACACATGAATACAAGTATCAGTAGTGTGGGTACTGTGATAGGCAAATAATATTTCTTATTGTGAATGTTTTGATTCATCAAAACTTCCACAGAAGTACTCATCTGGATAATCTGGTTTGGTTGAGACAGCCTCTGCATACAGTAAAAAAAAAACCTGTTTTTTTTTATAGGGCTCATTTGCAACCTTCTGCAACCAATGACAGTATTTCAAAAGCAGATATTAGAATATGATGAACAAGCAATATAGATTCTGAAGACCCTAATGCAATGCATATCAGCTGAAACAGAGGAGCACTACAGTTTCTGCTCCTTTTGCAGGAATCAGGATATTTGCTGGTAAGATGTGGAGAGTAAAGTAGTGACCCAAAGCATTGTGTGTGGCTGTGCATGCCTATAATGCAGGCTTTGTACTGTCTTAGTCATAAAGATATAAAGATCAGAAGAATTTACCGGGTATACTAGTTTAAAATTAGTGCAGATACCTTCTTGAATGCAAAAGATATCAGCCAGCTGTGACCCATCAGCATTAAACACTAATTATGTACTGGTGCCAAATTTTACCATGTGATTTTATAAACATTTTAGAATAATACAGTTTTCACAGAATACGCCAGTGGGTGAAATCATACACACTTAAAAAGAGATGGTTCTTTAAGAGTTCTTGACTAAAGAAATTGGTTCTATATAGAACCATAAACACTCAGAGAACCATTTGCATGATTAAAGCGTTCTTTGCATCGTGGAAGGGATTGATGGAGAATGTGTTGTATATTTTTGACAACAGTTCTGTATAGCACTGTGGCATGCGCACGTCCTTTGGGCCCCACCTTCCTGCTGGCTCTCGCGGCCGTCATCGTCGGGGCCCGGGGGGCGGGCGCATGCCACAAGCACCAAAAAGGGAAGCTTGACGTAGTAACAGTAGCAGAACGTATTTTGGTGCTAAATAGAATCTTTTTTTTCAAAAGGTTCTATATAGAGCCATACAAGACACTAAAGAAAATATTTTACTATGAAAAGAACCATTTACTCATGCAAATCCTTCACAGAGTGTTCATGGTTCTTCATAGAACCATTTTCTTCATGAAAACATCTTTGGAGAGCCATTTTTTTAAGAGTGTAGATGGTAGGGCTGGACAAAAAAGTGATGCACTGATCTGATGTACTGTATCAGTGCTGATACTAACCCTAATTATACAAATCAAACCAATCAGATATTGGTTTTGCTACCTTGCTACTATCATGAGCCCTATCACAGCGCTGGTATCGGATCAGTACTCGGTATTGGCCATTCTCAAACATTCTCCCCCCATTAATGTCACTTGATGGCCTTTCCTCTAACCTGTATTTGCCCGGTTTAATCAGATGAGGTGAGGCGATGTTAATTGTTCTTGTCCTTTTTTTAATGAAAGCCCCTCGAGTTTTCAGGCAGTGATTTATTGCTTTAGAAGCAAGAAGTGAAACCTCTCTCTAGCAGACAGGAATATTCCTCAGTGACACAATGACATGGTGTTAACTTCCTGTCAAGAATGTTTATTTCCCCATGGGACTCGCCCATAGATGCAGTATTGGATTCTCATAAACCTATTGATGTGTTAGGCATGTCGTCTGGGCTGTAATCAGGCCTGCCCGTGTTGTTGTTTTTGTGTGTTTTTTGTCAGTAGATATTTTTTGCGCTGCTTCGTCCCATGCTGCTGACTAATACGCAGCTTTACTTAAACGCAGAAGCTATTTAAGGGACCCTTAAAGGGCCCACATCCTGCATTTCTCTTCTGTTTTCCCCCCTCTGTGTGCATTCTTTTAGAATTAACAATGTGGGGTGATATCGGAATCATTTCAGAATCAGCAGATAATTGCTAAAAAAAATAATCTGCATCAGACTGATGTGTAGATTTGACCAAATCTTCAAACTAATGTTTGATTATGTATTTATTGAGCTTTGGAAGAGCAGAATGTTTACAGATTAATGCACAAAAATGTCTTGTATTTATTTTACTGCATTTGTAATAGGGCTGCATGATACATCATATTTTTATATGAGTTTCCATGATAAATACATCGTTAAGAGTTGATGGATAGGTGGATATATGTAATAGGGGTGTACTGGTACGTGTGTTTGTCCCAAACCGTCACAGCACAGACGTTACGGGTTGGTGCGCGCAGTTATATAGAGAATACACCACATGTGCGAAGATTAATGAATGTAATGTGGAACCAGATTTCACAAACTTGAGTTCCACCCAGAAACCTTAAGCTGTAAGCCATTAGCAAGTTAGCATCAGTGATCCGTGGAGGAGCCTTCGTCTGCAGCGAGCAGTCTATTAAGGGTTCATAACTCCTGACCCTGAGTTTGAGGAGTTGAACAGTGAGAAAGAGGTGAGGGAGGCGGCTATCGAGGTAAATAAAAAGAGGGCATTTTTAAAAAACACATAATCCGAAATTAAACGAATGAAGTGAGACTCATCCCTCTCCACAGCCTGCAATCATTTTGCTCCTATGAAGCGATTCAGCATGAAGCTGTACAGATTTTTTAGTTTTCTCTGCTCCAGCTACAAGATCACAACTGAAGTTGAATTAACATCGCACAGTTAGTTAACATTAGTGACTTTCCCACTCAGTGCAAATGACCCACTACAGG